GAATGTCAAAACTACGGCAAGAGACATCCAGGAATCGCCTTCGGCCCCTGCGAATCGGTTCCAAAGGATTGGTAGTCCCGGAAAAATGCAAATCAGGGCGAGCAGCTGAAGATTCTCTTGGCTAGGGCCATGAAAGCTTTGGCATTTTTGCACACAGGGTTGCTAGATTCTGCAACAAGGGGAACTGCAACTTGTGACAGGCTGCTCTCTCTGCGTACCAGTTCCAAGCCATTGTGCTGATATGCGCAGGAACCTAATGACTGGTGGGAAGACCAGCCGTCTTTCCAAACTGTTTTCTGGCTGTTTTTCACCTCATGATGTTCGTCAGCTAAGTTCAAGGACTCGTAACATCCGATGGCGTCTCCGTCATGGTAACCCTAAACCCATTTTAGGCGCTTTTGCGTTCAAGACTTCAACAGCACGCCGGATAAGTACATGTAGGAAAGATGAGATCAGCAAGCTTTTAGTATGGTGTAGGCCGACCGAACTTTCTTTGGTCATACGACGGGTAGTATACAGGGGCACTATGAATCAACAGAGGCTGCGCATGTTAGGCATACCGCTACAACGGGCGTCGAACGTGGGAAGAAGAATGGTCGTTGCAAGGGAAGTTGTTCGATAACTTGTCTGCTAGGACTTAAGTTGGATGACTAGTACATAACCACCATCCATTTGTACCGTTCGGCATGGAGATGATAACGCGGCACAGGTGTCCGGCCAAGGCTGGGTGAGGCTCTGTCTGCACGTCGCAGTATCTCTTGAGAACAACGAAATATTTTGCATAGTGTTTGACTGTAATTTCATTACCTGGTTTGGGGTGAATAGCAGATTTGATTGCTAGGGCACCTATTTTCATATCGGCAGTAAGAGTATGCCAATGCAGTCGTGTTTCTGATCGCTGTCCCCCTGCCTTGCAGAACACTGGTTCAAATCAGTAAACAGTATGTCCAGTCTTCAGAACTTTAAACGGAATTTGTAAACATATTTCCCAGTGCTTTTGAATCGTAGCACTATGGTGATCCCAATACAATTATGGAACCTGCGCATGGGGCTCATTGTGCAAAAGCCACAGATGTCGCGCGTTTCAGTCTAGGATGGATATCACCCAGCATATTACACCTCACGAACTCAGTTGGCGCTGCATATATTTGTTGCTTTTGTAGTCAATGTGCACAGTGCGTGACCCTATAACGCTCTTCACCTAGTGAACGAAGAAGGGTTACCCTCCCATCGCCATCAACTCCCGCCGAAGTTCAGTGCATATCCCGTATTTTATCTGTCCCCCACTATTTAAGAGCATGCCATATTCCTTCAAAGCGCTTGAATCCCTCTTGTAGCTGGGTCGTTTCGTCGTTTCCGCGGGAACGTGGCATCCGATCGATGCCTCCAGCATCTTCGGCTTCTTCCAATCTGACGGAGCCCTTTAGTGTACCTAGGCAGTTTACCGAATTAGCCTCATCATCTCTTCGGGGCGTTTTTTTTTCTGTGTTCGAGTTTGTTGCTGAAAATATGACTGTGACATCGGAAGCTGCATGAACTAGGCAGCCTGTATTGTGTTTCTCTAGACAGGCTGTAGGGCAACGGGTTCATTTTGGGTCGCCCATTCTGAAAACAGTAAGGAGTGGTTAGTAGCGTCAGCTGTTATGCGTCATCTACACATTGTCGTATTCGACAATATCGGCGGGTTTCCTGAAACAAGCAATGCATGGATAAATAGTTTCATGCGCTTCCTTCCCTAAACAGTGAGGTTGCCTGTTCACAGGGTTTGCCTATTCCGGCACCCTACCACCACCAGAAACCGGCAACAGCCAATCAGGTCCTACATACAAAAACAAAGGAGCGCACAAGCTAGCCTGGGAATTAAAGGCTGCTCAGACGAAAATGGCTCATGCAGCAAAAGTCGGGGTGCAAGGAATCCCTTGCGGGCCCGACGTTGGTGGGTCTGCAGAAAGGCAGCGGAAACAAACCAATCAATATGGCCGCCTTCGCATTTTTCAGCAGAACATTTTTGCCCTTTTGGCCGACCCTTCTTACGAAGCTCTTTTTGATGTGGTTATTGTAGCGGAAAACCGAGTGAGAATATCAGCTGCATCGTTGCACACACACCATGTGAAGTCAGCTGTGCCCCGAGACACGATTAGCACGGCACTAAGAGAAGCACACTTCTAGGCAGAAGCAGGTGAATACAGTTCATCGAGCATTTGTTCTTCGGCATCGGAAATTAGCACCAGCTTTGATTTTTTTGCGTAGTGTTGAGGGTAAAAAACGGTAAATATAAAGTTTAGGCAGGACCGTGTAGAATAGTACAACACCAGCTGCTAGTTGTTTAAGAGCCAAGAAGTGCTGGATATCCTATTTTCGGTAAAGTAGGTTCTATACCTCACATTTGGAAGGGGTTTCGTAGGATCGCCACTTCCTAATACTTGGAGGGCAACATTTCTGTGGCGCATTTAACGCGTGGCAAGCTCCTATTTAGAGCAGGGGGAATTCATATAGTTGGGGTGGGAAGCGAGCCACACGCCCACCATAATACCTTCTAGCACGTGCTCTGTCCTTGCAGGAGCTACGCGCTCACCAATGTGTACTGGCAGCATGCAGCGAGTACTTCAAGCGGCTCTTCTGTGGTCCAGAGACCGCCAAACGAATCGAATTTCAGCAGCGCTGGCCAGTGGTGCATCAGCTTGTACGCTGCATGTACGGTGCAGACATAGAAGGAGGCACTGATCCCGAAATCATCTTAGAGGTACAGCAAGCCCCCGCAGGCATCCAACCGCAGAAAGATGGAGCCTTGCTTATAGCAGGCCTAAGACGTACCCGTCTGGCATGTTCCCCCGCCTTACGCTCGCCTCGGCAATTCAAGCCCTTTAAAATAGACAGGCAGTGCACTTTCTCTCCGATCTACTCTACCGAGAGGCACCACAAAGCATGGGTAGTTGCACACTGCAGTGCACATTTCCCTTCCTCCGGCTAACGTCGTCTGTGCAGGTGTTGGCTGAGGCCAGGAACCTGGAAGTCAACTGCCTTAGCATCGATGACTGCCTCTCTCTTATAGTGGATCAGCTTTCTGTTCAAAACTGTGCGCGCATTTTGACGCACGATGAAGTGGCTCACCACAAAGAACTGTCCCGACAAGTTTGTGGATACATTGTTAAGCGATTTGCTGACGTCGTTCGAGCACCGTCCTCTCGGCAACAACTGCTGCAGATGCCGCGCAACCAAATCGTTTACATGGTTAGGGAGCTCTGCAGGCGCTGTGACAACAACAGGGATACAGATCTCATTGTTCGATTCGTCGTCGATTGGAGCTCGTTCGACACAGCATGTGATCTTTTGAGAGACTGTAAGTTGTGGGACTGGGCGATTGAACCAGGAGCTCTTTCCATTTTCCGCGATGAAGATACACCGTTAGGAGCGGTTCCGTCAAGTGAGATACTTGTAGAGCTCATTTGCAAGCAGTTAGCGGTGCAACTTCTGCACCATTTTCGCATGTCATGATGCTCTTCCTCATCATGAATGAAGAGATATAGCTTTCACTAGGGGAATGTTTTGAAAAGCTGCAACTTATCGCCGTTGCTATCAACCATCCAATCTTGCCTTGATTGTGAACCAGTGCTGCGAACAGATGGCCTTTTACACGAATTGCTTCTGTGGCTTTGTGCTCCCAGATTTGTTAAGCGCAGCTCAATGGCGCATCAGCAATTTGAAGATTGCGCTGAGAGAATCACTACCTGCCAAATTCGTCTGTGGGACTTACTTTGACTGGAGTGTGCGGCTCGACGTTGGTGAGTTGCGCTTCTGATTGTGTATAGCCGAACGAAAAACAGTTTCTCCAGAGCCAACTTAATCATTGTCGGACTTAATACCTTGCTGTCTTAACTAGGGGCTGAAAATAAACTAAGGATTGTCTACGAGTCAGCCGTTGACAGGACCCCGGGGCAGCCAGCGTGCATCAAAAGGTTCCCTGCCGCTCTATTCGCGTGGCAGGTGGGCATACTATACTTCGCAGAAAACGGACGATTGACGCAGGCTTGGTCTGTACCCAACGGTTATTGAAAATTCGTAGTTTAACTGATTCAGCTCCTAGCGTACAGGACTTGCACGCGGCAGGATCAGAAGCACCACCCTTCACCAATGGCAGCGTCCTGGGTAGACTTTGCAGTTGTTTACCTGACTTAGAGAGCCACAACGTTAAATTGTGCCTGTGAGTAAAGACTGCGTCACTCGGCTCAGGCAATATTTCGGGGTGAGGATGTTTTCCGCGAGCGGCCCGTTTTCATTTGTTTTCCCGAGCATATCGGACTGCATTGGTCGACTACTCTCCACATATCGACGGGTATTCTGCCAGGGCCTGCTTAGATATAAATTGTTGCAATTGATTCCACTGCTCCGGAATGCTCATTGATAACACGGACACTTTTGTTAGTAGCCTTGACAATAATGATATCTCTGCTAACTTGCTTGTGGTGTGATAGGGCACCGAGTAGTGTCTTACGTTCCAGCGAAACAGTTTAAAATAGCACACCTGTATACAGCTGCAATGTGTCTTTGTAAATTACATAAAGCGTGATCCTTGCTGTGTTTCGCGATGAATGCATTTCAGCTGACGTAACGGAGGCTGATGAGCTAACACTGATGGTGCAGATGACTGAAATACCTTTGGTCTCCCTTATTCTTTACTACTTCTCGTCGGACCTCAACCAAACACTTGCCCAAGAGGATATTCTTAACCGCCTACCCCATATTGAATACCGCTGCCTAAGCTCCTATACACTCTTTCATCAAAATGCTCCGGCTCTTTCTTCCAACTGATCGTTGCATCGACCGGATAGGCACCCCTTTGCCTCTATCCCCAAATTTGCTGCTTTTGGAAACGTCAGCTTGACTGCGATTGAATCCCCAGGGCACAGGAAAGGTCTGGAACGAAAATTTTCTCCTCACGGCTTTGTCTAGGGGAAGCACGAGAATGGCTTCGGCCGTCATCTTTTTGCAACGAGGCCTTTTGAGGCATTGGGGACTGAGACGTTCTCCGCTGCACCAAATTGCCGTCTTTGTGCATGCTCGTAGGTATGGACAACGTTTGTCCTCCTTCGTTCCAACAAGTTGCATGTGCGTATAACTCTAATTGTTTTTAGCGGCTCTGACTCGAGATTTTAGCATTGAACAATGTGAAACGGGGTTGGAATGGATCCATCAATGCGTTCTTGCAGTGCAGCCCGCAATCATACTGGCTGGCTCACGTTGACACGCATCTACAGCCGTTCGCACCAAACTGCCGTTTTTGTGCATGCTCGGAGGTATGGACAACGTTTGTCCTCCTTCGTTCCAACACGTTGCATGTGCGTATAACTCTCATTCTTCATGGTTATGCTGATCATTATATCATGCTGAGTGGCTGCTGATTGCTTCAAGAGAGGTAAATGGCCCCCTTAAGCCTGTACGTTGGCTGCTGTTGACGCTATGCATCGCAGAGTATAGACACAGGCAACGAACGACTTTGCTGTGTTATTGAAAGGGCTTGCTGCAAGTACAATAGAGAACTGTACCTACAAGGATTTCTTTAAACGTGCCTTAGAGCTGGCCAGGGTTGTTTGGGAACACACACGGTCATGGGGGGAACGATTCGGCTGGGACGCCCGAACGCTTCGCCATATTGCCGTTTTAGGTTGCAGTGATGAATGTTGAAGGTTTGCCATGAACGAGGGCGCACAACTCAGAGGCAACAAGGAGAAAGCTAGTCACAATTTGCCACTCAAAGAATGATGAGGAACAGACTAAGCATTTTGATGAGAATTAGAGAAGGCCGAGTGTTTCGGAGTTCACTCCCCTCCGCGTGCTTCAATATAAAGTCCGGTATACGCCCATTCCCTGAGGACGCCTGTTAGCCATTGTCCTTAGTGTAGGGCATTCGGGAGGCTTTTCTGTAATGTGCAGCTTGCCGATCCTCCTCACTCATTCACCAGACATATATTTCGACTACATGGGGACTGATGGGACTTTGGGGAACCAGATACATCCACCTAGCATATTGGCACGTCCCAAGGGAAGACGAAACTATGGCGGAGATGCCATCGGATGTTACGAGTCCTTGAACTTAGCTGACGAACATCATGAGGTGAAAAACAGTCAGAAAACAGTTTGGAAAGACGGCTGGTCTTCCCACCAGTCATTAGGTTCCTGCGCATATCAGCACAATGGCTTGGAACTGGTACGCAGAGAGAGCAGCCTGTCACAAGTTGCAGTTCCCCTTGTTGCAGAATCTAGCAACCCTGTGTGGAAAAATGCCATGTACCTAGCCAAGAGAATCTTCAGCTGCTCGCCCTGATTTGCATTTTTCCGGGACTACCAGTCCTTTGGAACCGATTCGCACGGGTCGAAGGCGATTACTGGATGTCTCTTGTCGTAGTTTGGACATTCCTGCGCTCTTTT